TCTCTCTCTCTCTCTCTATATATATATATATATATATATATATATATATATATATATATATAGATGATTTGACGTTCAATATACTCTTTATGATTGATAGATAATATATTTTATATTAATTTTAAAACATCAAGTATAATAGACTTTTTTCTATTTTAATGTTCGGAAAAACATCTCATATTTATTATAAATTCTTATGGATCAATAAGCATTTAAAGATAGATATTTATTAGTTCTTAGGTAAAGATCACCGTGGTGGATACATCTCTCATCCATCCAACTCAGCAAACTCGTCCCTTTTCTACGTATTCGAGAATGCTGCTGAAGATGAAATCAAAGTTTGCCCCAACCAAACAAATGCAAACGATTATTGTTTATAGTTTATGTGGTGACAGGATGGAGGTGGAGTCCATCAACTACTGCAATGCAAATGGAAAGCAGAGCAGAGTAATGGGTTGGATCACCTAAACCTCGTCCTACTTCGTTTTGTAGTGTTCCCCATGCACGCCGGTCAACTCAGACCTTGGACTGAGTCTCTTTCTCTCCGTCTCGTGGAGCAGAGCGATGGAGAGAGAGAGAGAGAGAGAGAGAGAGAGAGAGAGAGAGAGAGAGGGAGCAAAAAATCAAATAGAATATTGATAAAATCATAGTTTGACCTATTCTCGTAGAGAAATAAAATGGATTAAAATATAGAGGAGATTAAAAATGAATAAGTTGGATTAATCAATTGAATTGTGCCTATGATTTAGTAGTAACTATCACCAAGACTCTATGGATTTAGAATTCTTAAGAATGAGTCCAGTAATCTATTTCTACCTTTTGGATTACAACTCCTGGAGTTTGCAGTGGATTGTCATCGACCGACTATTAAGTTAGTGGCCGACAACAACACTAATGACATCCAAAACATATGGTGGTGGAGTAGAGGAAGATGAGCAATGACCATGAGAACATGGAAGCAGAAACCGAGGCAGGAACGATGAAGGAGGTCAGCAGATGAATGTGTTGTTGCAGCAGATGCCGGTTGAGATAGCGCTGCAGTGCTGCGTGCATAATATAATATAATATACTACTACTGAAACCCTGCAACAGTGCAGAAGGGTTGAGGATGGGTTGGTGTTTGAAACGAGGAGAAGGAGAAGGATGGCAGTGAGGAGGAAGAAGAATCATCTGCTCAAAGCTTTGCTCAAGTCATCCTCGAATAATTTTTTGTCCTAATCCATCATAGACTTTCTTGAAGTTTAGTTTAACTAGATAGAATGAAAGGTTGTTTATTACGAGTGTTAGCTATCATGTAGACGGATTCATTAGAAATGGCTACACCGTCATCATGTAGGTTGCGGCCAAGAATGAATATAGAGTGAATAAGAGGCCGGAGGAGTTACAACAAGGATTTAACAAAACTTTCTTTATAACGTGATCACAAAATGGAAATTACTAAACCATGCAAATGTAAAGATGGTAACGAAATAAAATAATTTATGACTATGACTATTTGAATGAATGGATTTGAGAGGTAAAGATTGAACTATAGTTTCATGTTATTAAAAAATGATAAAAGTTGGGTTTTATATATATATATATATATATATATTGACTTATAGCTTGGGTTGAATTGATGTCAAATCTAATAAATGTTAAATCGATCAGTTTGGCTCAAACTAGGATAATATGCTCTATTGACTTTGTTGAAATTGGTATGTCATTGTTTTGATACTGAGCCTCCACCCCAGCATAATCTTTGTTGCTCACAGTTTCTTCGTGATAACTCGAATAGAAGTATTATAGTATATTCTTCAAGAATACACGTCATTGTGTCCTCTTATCCCATGTCAAAGCCTTCTGACATTAACTTCATATTTGTCAAATGTTTCGCTGAGATAAGATGCTTATGCCTTGAAGGTCTGTTCGTTTTTGGCAACATGCAGGATAAGTCCACTCCATCAGAATAAGAGACACATAGAATAACATTATCCCACTCTTGCTTTTGCAAAAGTTCATGTTCTTGATCTTTGTCCAAAAAAAACTTTGTGCATTCACTCCATATTTCATCTTATACGTCGACTCCTTTCATGCGACTTAGGCACTTCACTAAGTTCCACCTAAGTTGTTTTTTTACCCCATAGTTTTCATTGAGTTGATGGTGGTCCTTACGTGCACCATTCCACGAGTCAACCCTCCATTGAGTCCGATCTCTCATATCAAGTGTGCCTTCATTTAGTATCGTCTTGGGTTGTTCTCTCACTTGATCTCTTAATGCATCCACCAATGCATTATCTCATGTAAGATCATGTGACGATTTTTCATCGTTTGCTCGGTCTGTTGAGCTTTATGAAGTTATTGTCTTGAGATACTCCTCCTAAGCATATGCGGTCGATTATACATGGTTCTCCCTCTAGAGAACAAAGATTTATCTCTCTAAATATCTATCTCGTTGGAGCAACTTCTCTCTTCGCATCCTTCCCTCTAAAAGTTTTGAAGACCACCATCCCCATGGACTACTCCATATTGCTGAACAAACTATACATTGTTCTATCCCAGCGAATGCACTTGTTAGATTACGACTCCTTGCCAATACAGCTTCCGATTGCATCGCTCAAGGTCTTGATACACACTTCAGCCTCTTACGGACATATCCTTCCTATGCCAAAGAGAAAGTTTCAATGCTCCAAGGTGTTGAGTTTCGATCGCCTTGGGATACCCATGGATAACCTATCGTCCGCATACAAGACCTTGCATGAGTACTAAATTCTTCGAGTTAGCAATTTTCCTCACCTTTGTGAGCTTTGCATAACTCGTTTGATCGCTGAGTAATACATCCCACCTTGTATGGTCTCATCCTTCACCGAGCACCCAACCTACCTTGAGCATCGTCAAGTTTGATTGCCAACGTTGAGTCATAATTGAACTCAGCCATCCCAACCTTTGTGCGCTATATATTCTTCTCAATTCGCTTACTCTGAATGTCAATTTCGAATGTCTGCTCCTCTAAACGACTCTTTTCCCTATATCTCAATGCTCGTTTCCTACAAACAATCGTATACACTCGTTGCCCTCAACGTAACCCCATTGAATCCCTCATGTTTCTATGCCAAGTGTTCATAGTGTACTTGTCTAGCTCTGATACCAACTGTCACAGACTTAAATGATTTTGTCTAAATTATACGATACCCTTGTGTGTCTGTCTGCAAGGGGTTAACCTCTCTATCTTCTCTTTGGTAGGTTCTTGAGGGATAATAAGAGGTTTCAAGGAGGTTCATCCTTTATGGATAGACACGTAAGGACGTTGCACGACTCGATCAAAATCAGTTAAGTCCGTAACAACATGTCGATCATATATCGATCACACGTTCGACATGTGTTGACTATATATGACATTGATATATCAATAATGTGAAATACTATGTGACGATCACATATCACTGGTGGTAGCCATATGGCATTGATATATTATTCATGCGATACTATATGTATTATTCACATGGTTCTGCTGCTGCTTGCTGTGGTATCCATGTTAATTTTTTCCATAATACTCTAATTTCTAGAATAGATATGATCCTAATCATCTAATCGTATATTTTTGGTAATAGTCATCCAAATTATTTTTGGAGAATCACGAGATTTATGACGTCATGGATCTGGTGGTCTAGAAGATGATTAAACAGGCTGATCAAACGATGAGTTCCAGATTCCAATCAGACGATAATATTGTTGATAATTGGATGCCACTTGTTATTGTGGGTACGTCCACTGGCTGCTAATGCTAATGGTTGTCAACTCCAAGTCTTGTGCAATCAACTTCTCCGGTGGATATACATAGATTTGATAGAAGAAGGAAAGAGACGGTGAGAAACAAAATGAGCGAACCTCGGCACATCATTCCCAACTGGATAACAAGAGAAAAATCATAATCGCTGACATCACAAACATAACTCCAAGTAAAGAACAAAAACACACAAAAGCATGGGAGAGAGAAGGTCGCCTAATGGGATATAGTAAAAAAAAACAAAATAAAAAATAAAAATAAAAATCTAATAAATAATGTTGGGACAGGTAAAAGTCAATACAAGAAATTTGCAGTGCTTCCGGGGCAAGTAAAAAAAACTCCAGCCATCTCCCCCGCTGGTGTTCCTTTTAGGTATTGTAAGTCTTCCACAATACTCCCACCTGTCCAAACCTGACCCTCTCAGGAGTCACTTCACTTGGTTAAAAGAAAGATGTGATGCACTGAAGCTTCCATATCCCATCTCCCGGTTCATGAACCTCATCACGAACAGTCACATCACCCCTCCTTCGAACGAACTGCCAATCCATCCTTTGAAGCAAAAGATTATCATAAAAAAGGTCGGTTTGGTAGATACAAAGGAAGAAAGTTGGCTGATAAGGAAGTCTATGGAGTTCGCATCCATTATCTACTCCTATCTAATGTTCTCTATACAAAGAAAAAGGCCGATAAACCATCGAACACAGGTAAGACAAGACACGGAGCAGTAACACGGGATTGAAACAGAGCACAGGCAAGAGAAGAAGAGACTTAGAGCGCAACATTCACATCGTCGTCTTCCTCCTCCTCCTCCTCCTCCTCCTCCTCGTCGGTCGACAAATGCGCCAACCAGCAGTAGCCATGCAGGTGGCCGTTAACGCATACGAAGTACTCCAAGCTGCCTTCGTGGGAGCCCAGCCTCCGGGAGGCGCTCCGGGGCACGAGGCCTGCGGCCGTCATGCTCCACACGCGGGCGCCGCAGTAGGGGCAGCGCACCCCGGCCTCCAGCTCCGCCTGCTTCCCGATCAGCAACGCCCGCGTCCGAGACCGCATGAACCCCCGGAACACCCCCCGGTAAGCGCCGAGGTCCTCGTCGCCGCCGCGGCTGGACTCCCGGTGCTCGCAGGGGTCGCTGACGAATAGCAGGTCGCCCCAGCAGCGGCGGGCGAGGAAGGATCGGCCGGAGGTCTTGGAGAAGCGGGAGGCGGGGACGAAGTGGCCCGGGGCGGGGCGATCGAGGGTGAAGAAGCGGGTGGGCGCGGCGCAGCCGCAGCAGAAGAAGAGGAGCTTGGCCAGGGCGTGCCACCCGCCACCTAGCCTGCCACCTGGCGCGGCACCCACCGAGGTCAGCGCCGCGACCATGCGCGGGGCCCGGGCGAAGCAGAGCTCCCGGAAGAGCACCCGGCCGGCGACGGCGCGGAGGCGGCGGCTCACGCAGGCCGCCACGCAGATGACGTGCGGGTCCCAATCCATGCTGCGGAACACCAGCATCAGCACCCTCTCGTCCAGTATCCCCCTGTTCGCGTCGCTGCTGCTGCTGCTGTCGCCGCCGCCACCGCAGCCGCCACTATTTCTATCTTCCGCGGTGGCAGTGCGCGTCGATGGGTTGGAGCAAGCGTTGCGATTCCGATTCTTTCTGCTTCGCTCCATCATCTCGTCCCTGGACACCAATCAGATGCCAACTGCGGCACGGATCGACATGGGTTGGATCTCCATACGGCTCGCGTGGAGTTCAGTATAGATCAAGGGAGAAGGTTGGATTTGGTCGGTTAAAATGTCGGGAATCGGACGGGCTCCAAATTGCTGCTCTCTGCTAATCTCTTGGGTAAATGCGAGCTATATTAATAAGCAGGGACACACTGGTCGATGTAGGCAAGTATGCATTGTATCGAGTTAGGCTCGAGAATTTAGGAACAAATTGGTGGTCTAAATCGGCATGAAGCGGGTTCGGGATGCCTCGGGGACCGATATGTCTTTTGGTGGAAGGGGGGGGGGGGGGGGGGTGGGGAGGTTACGAAGGAAGCGACGGCCGAACACGTGTCGCCCAAGGAGTCACAGACGCGGTAAGGGTGCGTTTGATTTGCTGCAGCGTCGTCACGTGGCCGTTCGCGGGGATCCGACCGCGTGGATTCGACGGGTCTCGTGCTTTAAGATGGCCGAAGTGCAGGACACGTGGAGGCGGGAGGGCGGGGATTCTCTTATATCTTTTCCGTGGCCCAAAAAATATCTGCGTCCGCACGTGCCCTCTCCCGGATCGGGTGGAGGCGACGTGTCGAGAGGAGCGGCCCCCGCGGAGGGTTCGTACACAACGCGGGCGCGATCGTAGCCGTACACGTTCTGATGTTTCTAAGACGTGTAATCTTTTGACGCGGTGTGGTCGCCACGTGTACGAGAAAAAAGGTGGGTGCAAAATAGAATAAAATTATTTTTTTAAAAATATGTTTACCCCTCTACTCGAAGCTTTTAAAATTATTCTAAACATGGAACATATTGATCTTTCTAACCTCATTGAAAAAAAGAAAGAACACAAATATGATATTATCACATGATCAAATGTGCTTGAGAGATTGACCATCGAAGATCAAATTAATCAAACACGATGAGCATATGGTGTTACGGACGTCACTCCAAGATTATCTCAAAGCATAATACGTTCCACTCCAACCATCTTGAATATAACTATCCTTAGGGTCACTTATAAAAGAGACTTTCAGGTATGCTCTCGACACACAATTCACTTCCAGTATTGATCAACTAGTTTGACCAGACTAAACCCCAAATCTAACATGATTGTTAGAGGGGTATTTGTTGGGGATACCCCCTGATTTAGTTTTTGTATATTTGACACTTTGCAAACTATAACTTAGACTTAAATTGACTTAGAACATATCTCCGTTGGATCTAAATTATTATCCCAACTCGAACAATTATAATATGTACTAGAAGATTTGTATTGGTGTTGAAAAATCTGGGACAACATTACATGCGCGACGAAAGAACAAAAAGATAAAATCCTAAAATTCCCGTATAAAAGAAGGTTTCATCGTCGTGCAAAAGTTGATGCGTAAAAACCCGCGAAACCGAAAAACTACGCATAAGAGAATTACCTAGGGAGATCGTATATCCCTGAAAACTTGCAGATCTGTGAGAAAAGATAAAGGAGGTCAACTGTACTCCTCTCTAGCATTGATTCATACAGTAGGGGTGCGAAGATGCTCCTCAAATCATTGTCCAAAACTCTTTCTCGTGCGCACCACACAATCAAGAAGGGGCTGCCCCTGCAGTATAAGGAGGAGAGGGAGAGAGGAGAATGGGAGGAGGCAGAAAAAAAGAACCTCTAGCCTATGGGTCTTTGGTTCCATTCAATTTATAGAGGTCCCTTGTCAACTTAACACTAATGGATCATGCCATATTGGGTATTATATCTCCATCCAACTACCCAAGTCTCTTAGATTAGTGGGTCTCTACTCAATAATTTCTCATTAGCTCTTATTGGATCTTATACATATGATTCAATAATTCAGGGGCTTATTGGATATTCAATACGTTAGGGCTCCAACGGATATCTCATATCTGAACCTCTACTCGTCGCAATGCTTACCATATATGTGTGACCCTTTGGGCCTAATATCGAGCTGGTTGTTAGTCATATATGTCAGAACTCCTTTTGGCTTAGTGAATTATTATCTCCATAATAATTCACTTGACTCATTAACTATAAACGTACTAAGCCATTACGCTGCAGTCCTTAAATGATACATGGGAATCTAATCATTTGGACCTACTATCCTTAGTTACCGTGTACCTATAGTCTCTTATTCATCTAATATCCCAAAGACCGTATACCGAGCATAGTGCTGTCAGACCCATATAGTTTCTACACTAGTCTTACTCTAATCAGATTTTCCGGGAGAACTCTTTCTCTCTTAATTCGAATGACCCTAGCTAGAGATTTATCTGAGCAAGAACACATGAGATATTCCTCTATGACACCGAGAGCAGATGGATCCTCTATTGATACTCAATAGCCCATGTAAGGTTAGCTACCATTCCCGATGACTGATTGTGCTAGATTTGGAACCTCGAAACTTATAAGTCTGGTATTAAAGAGTGTAGTACTTATATAGGACATTCTTGATGTCTTAAGTCTAAGGACCAGATACACCACTGAGAAGACGAAATCGTTGTCTGACAATAAGACGTCATCAATTTTCCAACATTCCGTGAGCGGATCAATCAGTGAACTCATTCTCCAACGAACACATGCACTATATCCCTAGTGTCTCCAATGAACACATGAATTTATTATATTTTTTATATATACATATAAGTATTTAAATTATTTTAATGTAGAATTTTACCTTTGTATTATGTATATATTATTATGTTATAGGGTTATGCTTACTAAAGAAGTAGGATGAGGTGTTAACCATTAAATATCTTACGTTAAGGATTTTAAAATATTATACAGATCGATACAAATCCAATAAAGGGAATAGGAAAAATAAATTGGCATACTGATCTTGAGAACAGTTAGATAAGGTTAGGAATTTGGCAATCTCGAGGTAGGAGAAAATTTTTAAAAGTTATAAAATAAAAAAGGACGGAGAGATGATTTGAACCTTTACCTAAAAGACATAAAAGGGAAATACAAAAGAAATAATTAAACAACACATAGGATCGATCACTAGGTCGAGGAGGAGCGATCGGCTCGAACTCGGAGGGTTGTTGGGGGCAGCGATTGCAGGCAGCAAGGGCGGAGGTGCGGCAGAGGAACGAGGTAAACAATCTTATCATTACGAAGATGGGAATTTTCGAAAGTTAAAGAGTGCTCAGAGTTAAAATTCCCCCAATTTATTTATATAATTTTGCTTTTTTTTTTAAAAAAATATCAAATAGAAGCGGCTCCGAATTCGAGTTCATCCCCAACACTAGCTGTATCCGCCTCTACTATTTAACACTCGCACACGCCGATTACAACGCCGCCTCTCTCGCTCCCTCCTTCCTTCCGTCTTTTCCCCTAGCTAGGGTTTCTGTTTGCCCTTCTCCCTCTCCCTCTCCCTCTTCTTGCGATGGCGCGATACCGGAGTCGGAGCAGAAGCTTCAGCCCGCGGCGCGACAGCCGGAGCCCCCCTCGTCGCAAGTACTACGACGACCTCCGCGACCGCCGCGGCGGAGGAGGTCGGGACTACAGGGACCGGCGCTCCTCCGCCCCCTCGGGCCTCCTCATCCGCAACATCGCCCTTGACGCCAGGTCCATCGCTCCCCCTTGATCTCTTCTCTCATTTTTTATTTCTTGATTCTCTACGGTTTGCTTTTCTTTAGTCCTTGTTCTGTTTATTGCTTCCGTACCTTAAGTTTCAGTTTAAGGATAATATCTTTTTTTTTATTGCGCTGCTTATCGTACTGTCAAGTTAAATATTTGAGGCACGTATAAGTGAATGCTGAATCCACTCGTAGGACTTCACAATGTTCTGGTAATATTGATGTAAGGAAGACATGGAAGTTGAGCATACTTCATTTTGAAACAGACTTAGTTATGAAAGAATTGTGGCTATGCATAAGACAGTTTGGATTATAAAATTTTAACGGTTGGTCTAGGTCTCTAAGGGTGTTGGTTGTTTCTTGCGTTTTGGAAATATGCAGCTTGACTTCAGTATTACGTATGTTTGTAGTTTAACTAACTGGGTTTTACGTAGGTAGTAGATGAACATTTGGGTTCTTTGTTGGATTACTAGATTATAATTTTGTAATGTTTTTTATATTAGACACATTAAATCTGGCATGCTTCATAGTGGCTAATAACCTGTGTACAAGGCTCCTTTGAGGGTCGGTCTATTTAAGTAACAAACTTCACTTTACAATGATCTTATAACGTAGCAGCATGGCCTTCCAATCTTATATAATTATCATGTACGGAATCCATTTTGAGCAACGATGTTGAGAACTTATCCATGTTCATGTTTTCACATCCTTCCAAGTCCGAAAATAGATTTGAACAATGCTTTATTAAGTATGTGGAAGCTTGCTATTCACTGCACTCTCCTCCTTCATTTGTTATTGCCATCAAATCAAACAAGTAGTGGGAAGGAGGCTGGAATAATTAAGTCAAAAGGAAAAAACAGTTGGTTTTACTCCTAAATCTCCAAGTAAGTTTGGTGAAAACATGAGATGTTATACAATTTATTATTTAAGCACTAAATAAGTGTGATCTATTGATCCACCCAATGCAGTCCTTGTTTGATATTGGTTCTCTGTGAACATCATCCAATTGACAGCCCATATAATTTGCAATTTGATTATTGTTGTGTAAAACATCGCTGAGATAGGCAAGAGTTTAATTGAAAATGAAAACTAGGGTGAGATGTGATTGCAAACTAAAAGGCAACTAACATCACCATTTCCAGGCTAGCATTTGCTTTTGGAAAGTCCATAAAATTTTTTTATTGGTTTTTTACTATTGCGATTGAAATGGTTTGTTGAGTTGGTAATTAGGTCGGAGAAAAGCAAACATGGCTTTCTTTTAAATTAGCCAATGATATCATGCATGGTTGATAAGAATTGTAATTTTAGAATTTATAAAAATACTAAATTTGAGGTGTTTCAGCTAGAAAATTGATGCTTATAAAAATGCTAACTTTCCATCAATTTAAATTAGAGATTTAAAAGTGTGATAAACATAGATGGTTAATAAATTTCAAAATTTCTAGTTTCATTTCATAGTTCTATTTTTGCTTCTTTTTATTTTTTTTAGAACTATTCAAAATTTTATGATTTTGAATTCTTTTTTGGACTGATCTGTAGAACTAGCATATTATAATCTTGCTTCGGTTTCTGATCTCCAAGCCATTGTGTGCTATACAAAAATGTATTTAATTTATGATTATCTTGATATTTTATCAGTTCATGCAATTGTCTATGAGATCGAGTGTTTCTGGTTTCTGTTGGTTTTAGATGCAAATGAAGACCAGTGCTACCACGTTCCTTACTGTAGCTTCTACGTTAGTGGTGTATTTGCAAACTTTATTTTCTTTGTTTCTAGATGTATGATGGTCATGTTTATTATGCAATAAAATTTGCTTATTTGTTAATCTCTTGTGAGTTTGATAATAAATGATGTTGCTGTTATATGCAGGCCAGAAGATCTTCGCATTCCATTTGAGCGTTTTGGTCCTGTGAAGGATGTCTACCTGCCAAAGAATTACTATACTGGGTATATTTTGTTGTTGCCTGTAACCAAATTGTTTTTTCCTACTCTTATTATTGGCAAAGATTAGCTATGTAGCAGTTTGGCTTGTATGTCGCTATTTAATTTCTGATCTAATGGCCAGCTATGCACATGCTGTTCTTGTGCGGATCCACTGTTTGAGAACCTCAGAGTTAAGTGCAAATTTCAGCCATGATAAACTGCATGTATGGGGAAAAAGACATGTAGTTACTATTTCAAAGTTCAAATGGCCACAGTTATGTTTTTTTTTATGAGATGGTTGGTTACTTTCTCAAATTTCTGCTATAAGTGAATAACATAAAGCAAAAAAAATTCAGCTTCTAAAATTGTCAGTTTTTTTCTTAGTTCAGCTACTTCTATTCACATGCCAGAAATATTTTGTTAAATAGATTTAGGTCCCTACCACTTAAATTATTTTTATTGTTTGTTATATTTTAATTGATGGTGAGAATTACTAGATAGGTGAGATAGTGAACTTTAAGATGATGAACATATAAAGATCCCTTTACGTGGATGAGGCATTTGATGGAAATCCTAGTGATTTTTTTTTTAATCAGAAGATTGCCTGAGACATCTTTGTGGGTTAATGTGATGCTGACAAGAAGTACAACTGGCATTATTCTTTTTTAGAATTGTATTTCAAGTTCCTTCTTGCATACTGTAGTTTGTTACTGCCATGAAGATGATAAGGTCCACACTAGTGTGTGAGGTCTCTGTGCTGCAAGGAATTGTTTGCCTTGGTGTGAACTGTGCATGATTTTGCCCTTTTATTTTTAGCAATTTAAGATAACATCTTGCATCCATAAAGGTTGGCAAAGGATATCCCAGATGGAGTGATTTATTAAGGCAAGTTATTTATGAGGGTTTTGTGCAAGAATCATAATCTGGTTTGTAATCTATGGAAGTATGGTATTCTACTATAACCTGCCTGTTCTTTATTTTGTTTTCTTGGAGATGCCCACAGGTCTTGCTGCTAGCTTAACCACTTTAATAGGTTCTCATGTACATTGGAGGATTTAACTCCACACTGATTTGTTACCACAGTAGTCCTCTTCCTCCAATAATACAAATTTTTTTCATTACCACATTTCTTGGGCATTGGTCCTCTTTGTTAGTAAACTCTTTAACTGATGATAGATCACCATAATTCAAGTTTGTAGTTATGCTCATGACATGATGGGCATGTGGATGGTACCAATTATATGCTGTAATAATTGGGCTTTAGTAGAAGCCTTTTATTTGATAATCTTAACCCCTTTTTGTTTGTCTACTCCAGTTGGCACCAAAACAAAGTATGAGTGGTGATAGGTGATGAAAATGGAGCTAAGGGAGCTTATGAGAAGGGAGTAGCGGAGATATTTGTCATGGACAATTAGTTGTGGCCAAAATCAGTGATTTAAAAAGCGCTAGGCGCCAAAAGACGCCAAGGTCCAAAAACGCCCGAGGCGCTAGGCGCTCGCCCGAGTGAAGCGAGGCGCTAAAATATAAAAATATATAATATAATTAATAAATATAATTATTTAAAATTTTAAATAAAAATATGCTATTAAATTAAAAAAATCTAAGATACAAAATCACAAAATTAATAACATTAAAATCAAAATAATATATCATAAAATTAATAACATTAAAATCAAAATAATATATTATTAATCTATTAATGAAAATTAATCATTTCAAAATTCAAATAAACTTAATATTAAGATTTAAGAGTATACTGAGCAGTCTGAGCTTGACGGAGAAAGGAAGCAGCGTCGGCAGCGGCGAGCGGCGGGGGGAAAAGGAAAGGGAGCGGGAGGCGCGAGTAGCGGGAGGGCTCGCGGGAGTCGCGAGCAAAGGGAGGGCTCGCGGCAGGCGCG